TATTTAAAATGGATACTTCACCCTTGTACAACCATACCTCATCCCTGATTTATTCATTTTTCCCATAGCACTTACACCCTCTAACCTACTCCCCCCTCATTAGTTTATTTATTTATGTACTTTTATTTTATTTTATTTTATTTTTTTTCCTTTTTTGTCTTTTTTACTGACCGGTAACGGGATTGCAACCCTCGGTGTTGCGCCTGCACCATGCTCAGCCAGTGAGCAGGAACCGGTCTGCACATGGGATCCGAACCCTCGGCGGGAGCGCCGCCGCACTCCCAAGTGGCGCACTCTCCAGTGCGCCACCGGGCCGGCCCTATGTACTTTTATTTTGGTAAAATAAATATAACGTAAAATTTACTGCTTTAATCATTTTTAAGTGTTTGATTCAATGACATTAAGTACATTCACCATTCACATTGTTGTGCAACCATCAGCACCATCCATCTCCTGAAATTCATCTTCCCCAACTGAGATTCTGTACCCATTAAACACTACCTCCCATTCCCCACCTCCCCGACCCTTGATAAATGCCATTCTACTTTCTGTCTCTGAGTTTGACTACACTAGGTGCCTCATATAAGTGGAATCTTGTATACAGTGTTTGTCTTTTGTGTTTGGTTTATTTCACTTGGCATAATGTCTTCAAGGGTTTATCCATATTGTAGCGTGTGTCAGAATTTCATTCCTTTCTAAGGCTGAATAATATTCCACTGTATGGAAACACCACACTTTTGTTTATCCATTCATCTGTCAATGGACGCTTGAGTTGCTTCCACCTTTTGGCTATTGTGAATAACGCTGCTATGAACATGGGTGTACAAATATCTCTTCAAGTCCTTGCTTTCAGTTCATATATATATATATATATGTATATATATATACATATATATACATATATATATATATATATATACACACACCCAGAAGTAGAATTACTGGATCAAATGGTAATTCTATGCTTAATTTTTTGAGGAAATGCCATACTGTATTCCACAGTGACTGCACCATTTTACATTCCCACCAACCCATCTAGCCTACTTTTTCTTGTATATTTTGTTTAGTGTCTGTCCCCCACTCTTACTTGAACATAAGCTACACAAGGGCAGAGATTTGCTTCCCGAATTCCTAGAACCTTACTTGGCACATGATAGTCAGTGAACAGTGAGTATTTGTTACATGAGTGAACTGATTCAGTGCTTCTGACCTAATGCATCTTCCTGACCCCCTTCAAGGGCTAGTTTAATGCTAACGGAGCCTACCTCGGCCCATGTCACCAGAGGTCTCTTCCCCACCTTGTTGCATGCCTTTTGCAATTATTGCCCCTTTCTGCTTTGTATTCTGGTCGTCTGTGAACTTACCTCATCTATCCCTCAGAATTCTAAGTTCCTTAATGTTAGGGAGCTTGGTTTGTTTATTTTTGGCCTTTTCTGATTTTTGTTTTGTTATCCCTCTAGCCCTGGGGGATATATGCTCAAAACACCCATCAGAGAGATGTTCTAAATATACCAAAGCTAAATAGTGACACTCTAAGGGCTGGGCTTTTGCAGTCCAGAGCTCTCTAAAACCAGCCCTCGAAGAATCCCTGGCTGTGTGGCCTGGCATGTGCTTCGTTCTTTGAGACTGGTCCTCCTCTGATGGGGGAGTTGGATTAGTGACCTCTCAGGTTCCTCCTAGATATTATGAGTGCTTGGGCCTACTCCTTGGCATGAAGAGTACACTTCTCATCTATGAGAGCCCACAGTCTGATATGAATAAAATAAACGTGTAAAAAGGGGTTAGGGGATAAAAGGGGAAACCTGTGTAAGAGCAGTCCTTGCCAGGATGGAGGTATGAGTGCTTGGGCCTACTCCTTGGCATGAAGAGTACACTTCTCATCTATGAGAGCCCACAGCCTGATATGAATAAAATAAACGTGTAAAAAGGGGTTAGGGGATAAAAGGGGAAACCTGTGTAAGAGCAGTCCTTGCCAGGATGGAGGCACATACCCGGTCTCTCCCTCTCCCAGCCCCACTCCCCACATCTGGAGCTCCAGAGCGCAAAACACCAGGAAGCTCGAGTAGACTGCATGGACCTTCCATTCTTGTTTAGAGAAGAAAATATCCTTACAGCTCATGTGGTTTCATTTGGTGATTTTTAAATTGTTTAACTTTCTGTCCCTTCCCCAGGGAATTAACATTTGCAGGCGAAAAATGGACTTTGGGTTTCCCCCCCTTTGCTCAGCTATTTGTGTATAAATGTGACTTGAGTAAGGTCTCTAAAGGACAGCTAACCCCCACCCACCCACTGCTTTCCCATTCCCTCTTCCTCTGTGACTAAGAAAAACGATGACTTTACACCCAAGAATGGAATGTTTCAATTATTCTTAAAGCCTTCCATGTATTTTTACAAATTTTTCAAATGTATAAACAAACAAAAACAAATGCATTCATAATGCACTAAGACAGGTCTGGCTGGTTGGCTCACTTGGTTAGAGCATGGTGCTGATAACACCCAGGTCAGGGGTTCGATCCCCGTATAGGCCAGCAGCCAAAAAACAAAAACAAAAAAACAACACACTAACAATATTCACAGGTTATTTAAACAAATCACTCATAATCTAACAACTCTTTTTATTTTTACCAATTGCCTTCCAGTTTTACTCATATGAACACATAGTCTACATTGTGATTATCAGACCATACATACAACCTGTATTTTACATTTTCCTCTCAACATCTACAAACAAATGCACATTTCCCCAAATGTATTCTTCTTAAATATCACAATTCAGTAAATCCGGGTCAAAGCCATCACTGATTGATTGCCCAGTGAGTGAGTACTGGGCTAAAGCTGTGTATGATACAGAAAGATGAGTGGTCTCTGCCCGCAATAAGTTTACAGTCTCATGGAGCGATAAGACATACATCCATGAAACAACATGGAATAGCAAATAATTATGTCGAAAGTTTTTTGTTGTTGTTGTTTTGTTTTTCTTTTTTGTTTTACGTAGGAAGTTGTGACCACGCACTCAAGGTAAGCAGGCATTCGAGGTGGTGGAGAGTCCATCAAGGGCTGGGGACTGAAAGGGGACTATGTCCCCTTGAAGATGGGAGAATTGATCCAGCTGTGATGAGCAGCTTTGAAGAGGCACAGGGAAGACAGAGAAAGGATGGTTCAGGAAGGGAAAACTGGATGAAGGCATGAAGGTGCTGAATAAGGGGGACACACAATTAGTTTGGGAGCCATTAAGGCCATTGGCCCAACAGGCACAAAAGGTGAATTTGTCAAGGAAATGGTAGGATCAAAGACAGGAAGTCTTTGGGCAGGCCCGTGGCTCATTTGGGAGACCATGGTGCTGACAACACCAAGTCAATGGTTGGGATCCCCTTACTGGTCATCCCTAAAAAAAAAAAAAAAAGGACAGAAAGGCTGTGGGAATGGGGGAGAGATTTGGAGTTGCCTGGAAGTTGGACAAAAGTACAGAGTTGATGTCTCTGGTTTGCAGGAGGGGTTTTTAGTGAAATCAGTGCTATATTCCCATTGGTCTACAGGGGCTGTGTAGGTTGTTTTGCTATTGTTTTGTTTTTGAGATAGAAGCTGTCTATCAGTCTAGATACAGCTAGTAGATTGGGGGATTTAGGATGGTGGCAAACAGGAGGTTGAAGGGGAAGCGGGCACACCAGGCCTCATAAGTAAATACCAGGTCAGGTGAAGACCTTCCCCTCTCCTTCACTGCTCTGTTCCCACCTAGAACAGTGCCTGGTGCAGAGGAGATTCAGGTACGTATTTGTGGAATGAGAGCTGAATCAAGTCTAGTTTTGCAAAATTTCAGTACAAAGTTTGGCACATTTATATTCCTACTCCAGGCCTGCCTTAAAGTGGAGTTATTTTTTCTTTTTCATTTTTTTTTTGTACAAAGTTTGGCACATTTATATTCCTACTCCAGGCCTGCCTTAAAGTGGAGTTATTTTTTTTTCATTTTTTTTTAACAGTGCCTGGTGCAGAGGAGATTCAGGTACGTATTTGTGGAATGAGAGCTGAATCAAGTCTAGTTTTGCAAAATTTCAGTACAAAGTTTGGCACATTTATATTCCTACTCCAGGCCTGCCTTAAAGTGGAGTTATTTTTTCTTTTTCATTTTTTTTTTATTGAAACATAATTGATTATACATATTTGTGGGGTGCAGAGTTGACTATCAATACTTGTGTACAATACGTGGTGATCAAATCAGGATAACTGGCACATTCATCATTACAAAATGTAATCATTCTTTATGTCCATTAACCAAGTTCTTGCTAACCCCTCCCCCTCCCCCTTTCCCACCTCTAGTAACCACAGTTCTGTTCTCTCCTGAAAGTTCAACATATTATTGTGATCCTTCCTTCCTTCCTTCCTTCCTTCCTTCCTTCCTTCCTTCCTTCCTTCTTTCCTTTCTCCCTTCCTCCCTCACTCACTCCTCTCTCTCTCTCTTTTTTGGAGTTACTTTTTCAAGTGCACTTCATGACCATTTAGGGCGAGGCCAGGCCAGGCCTTGCCAGGAGACCATGTGAGTTTTGAGAGCTAATA